GACAATTGTTAATACAGTAACTATAGACATTGGCATAAAGGTTTTTGTGGGAACAAAATTTTAACTTTGCTTCAGTAAATACCTAGGAATAGAATTACTGGGTCATGTGGTAAGGATGGGCTTCCTAGGTGGTGCTAGTGGTAAAGAACTCACCTGTCACTGCAGGAGACATGAGAGACATGGCTTCGATCCCTGGGTCAGAAAGATCCCCTGGAGAAGGGCATGGCAACCCACTCCAGTGTTCTTGCTTGGAGAATCCCATGAACAGAAGAGCCTGGCCAACTACAGTCCATAGGGTTGCACAGAGTCAGACACAACTGAAGCCACTTAGCACGCATGCATAGTAAGGATATGTTTAACTTTCCAAGAACTGCCCATCTGTTTTCTAAAGTGGACATCCTGTTTTGCATTCCCACCAGCAGTGTATGAGAGTTCTAGCCGCATCCTCCCCAGCATTCAGTCTTGTTTTCATTTTAGCTATGCTAATATATGTTAAAAATAATATTGATGCTAATCTTTGATGAAATTCCAGGACAGAAAATAAATACAGCATAGGAACCCCAGTGAAAAGTCATTTTCTATGTTCCCCCGTCTTCCCCTTTGCTGGACTATTCTTGCTCCCTATTAACATTCCTTATAAAATCTCACCTCCTTGGGAACAGGAAGAGAAATATGGAGTAGATGCAGTAGAGTTAGGAGAATCCGTCATAGCTGGTTACTTGGCCAGTCCAAAAAAAAATGGCTTTTAAGAAAAACTACTTAGGAAAGAGCCAGAAGACCTGTCTTGTACCAGATTTTTACTTATCAAAAGCCCTTAATTTTAAAGGACACACACCCTTGCATGTGGAAAAGAAGAAATAAAACCCACCTGGAAGTCCAAAAATTAGTCACTCTCCCTCTTGAGCCTGTTGTTAACTTTGGATAGTCTTTTAATTTATCTAGCTTCTAGATCTGTCCTTTATACTGAATCTGCTCATCTAGGTTGTGGTTTGGCTAAGTTCCTGGTTTCTGCCCCATTACTTATCCATTGTCTTTCCTGCCTTGAACCCTTAATACCATACTCACTGACTCCGCTGGCTTCAGACCTGCTAGTGTCAGCATTAAACACTTGTTATTGGCTTCAGACCCAGCTGTATCTTCAATTCCACCCGACCTTTGCCTGAATGCTTGGGACTTGACATTATTGATGACTTGGTTGGAAACACCAGTGTAAATCAAATTTATGGATGCTGTAAAGCCAGGAGTATAGCTAATAGGTAGGATGACAGAATTAGGACAAAGAATATTCCTATAGGTTGGAACAAAGAACTGAAACTAATAAGGTAAATTGTAGCTGAATGAGGTTCTGAGCTTAGTTTTAAAAATCAGCTGCACAAGCACGAGATGGGAAGTCATGTATTAGTTCTGCCATGTATGGAAATGACATAAGGTTTAAACAGACTACTTTCATGTGAGTCATTGGAGTGGTGCAGTAAGTGGGACTGCCAAAAATAACTGAATGTGGGCTGAAGCTTCATTACCAAAGAGAGTGAATTGGTCAAAGTGGACATGATCTCACTTTCCACCACCTGTCAGACCACACTTGGAATATATAGGTTCAGTTTTGGGTCACACATGCTAAGGCAAATAAAGACAAACTGGAGTGTATCCACTTTCTTTTCTTTTCTTTTTTTTTCATTTATTTTTATTAGTTGGAGGCTAATTACTTTACAATATTGTAGTGGTTTTTGCCATACATTGACATGAATCAGCCATGGATGTGTATCCACTTTCATCTCCCATCACAGTCTGGTTTCTGTCTCACCAAGGTACCAGTGGCATTTTTTTGTGAGCTAATGGGCACACTTCATGCCTTCTGTTTGACCTCGCTGCAGCTTTTGACTCATGGACCATTCCTGCCTTCCTCAAGTTGTCTTCTCTTTGGTTTCTTGTCATTTATATCCTTTCCCTTTCCCCCCCTAGTTATCTCACTGTGACTTTTTCTCCTCCTTTGATACAAATATGGGTGTTCACTTTCCTTCTTTAGATTCCCCAAAGGAGATCCTATCCATTGCTGGAGCTTCAATTACCAAATGGATGCCATTGACTGACTCCCAGATCCCTATTTCTAGCCTTGATATTTTTTGCACTCTTGTTCTATATATCTTTTTTTTTTTTTTTGGTGAGAATATTTGATCAATAAACACCCAGAAGTCAACAAAAGATCTCAAAGGAGAATGGTAAAATGCCAAAAGGAGATAGATCTCCAAAAGTAGGACAAATCTAGTGGAGATTATTTGCAATCTGGGAGCCTTTCTAGATGTTTAACCATTGAAGCATTTGCTTTGCCTGAATCACATTCTGGAAAGAAGTGCTTTCTTGCAGAAATTAGGGAAGAGTCAGTTAAGTGGAGAGGGAATGTTGGTGAGTCCCACTTCTAGAAATAAGGCAGTGAGCTGACAATGAACCAGTCTTCCTTTTGCTTTCTCAAAAGGAGTAAAAAATGGTAGACCTGGAAACTTACATCTAAGGACTTAACTTTTATGTAACTTTTAGAGTTTTTACCTTTTTATTTCATGTATCTTCCCCACAGTGCTTGAAAGCAAAGACTTTACTATAAAAAATGCTCTTTGTTTCCCTTTGAAGATAACAAGAAAAGGGGAAAGGGACAAAAATGTGCCTTCTGAGCTGGGGAGAGAAGATTTTCGAGAGAAAGGGTACTAGGCTAAGTGCCTGTGTGTGTGCTAAGTCATTACAGTTGTGTTCAGTTCTTTGCAACCCCATAGACTGAAGCCCACCAGGCTCCTCTGTCCATGGGATTTTCCAGGCAAGAATACTGGAGTGGGTTGCTATTTCTTCCTTCAGGGGATCTTCCCCACAAGGGATCCAACAACCTGTGTATCTTACGTCTCCTGCATCGGCAGGTGGATTCTTTACCACTAGCGCCACCTGGGAAGCTCTCTAAGCTATGAGGCAGAGACTATTGAGGGAGAAGGGAGAGTTTTGAGGAGCCTGTTTCAAGGAAAAAAAGGAAAACACAAGGAACTAGCTTGTAATTGAGCTGTGAAAAGACTCCACAGAGGAGCTCAAAGCCGTGTTACATAAAAAGAGGTGAATTGGGGGATATTTACTCTGGAAAAGACATCTCAGTTATTTGGAGATGTTTGGGGATGTTTGAAATCTGTCAGGAGGAAAAGAGGTTAGAATGTTGTGTATTTCCCTGATGGAAAAAATTGGACCCATGGGATGGAAATTATAGTTGAGGATGGTGGCAGAGGAGGAGTGGAACATGAGAGTAATATTTTTGCTCTCCAACCATCAGAGTCATCTGAAAACAAAATAATTTCCTTTGGGAGATAGTGAGTTTCCCATCCCTGGAGGATGACCAAAAGCAGGAGGTTTTAAAGGGGAAATGCAAGCACTGTGGATGCATTTGCACTCAGTGAATATTTAGGGTGTCAGCCCTAAAAGTCTATGCTTCTATGAACATATTGAGTCTCTAGGCATACAGGGAAAACTCCCTCTCTTTTAAAAGTCATGAGTCAAAACATATGAGAAATCACTAAAAATTTCTTTATGGTGCATGTTTAAAGTGCCAAAATCAATGTTGTCAGCATAAAAGCCAAAGGAATTCAGAGGAAGAAGGCTTGAAATGATGGCAGGGAGCACAATGTGAGTTCTGATGTGGTCCTTTGTGTTGGACAGACAAGAAAAAAAAGGACATTCTTAATGAGGTGGCATACTACCAGATGTAAGCCCCCAAATCTTTTATTCAACCTTCATTAAAATTTTCAAAGGAACCCATGGGTCACTAGGTACAACAATATTCTAGCAAGAAAGCTGGAAAAGGAGAGGGATTAGGAATATGTACAAATTAGCTATCATAGAGTTATGAAGAATACAGAATATTAACCAGGTGGGATAAATTTTCAAGTAAAATTTATCTTTACTTGTTTTGTGGTTGGTTTTTAAATGTGCTTATTTTCCTTTTGAGGAGGACTGTAACATTTTCTGAAGACTACCATTATTTTCTATAGAAAATAATATTATTGATGTTTGTTGGAGAGAATGGTGTTTGTTTCTATGAAGCTAAATACTGCTTGTCACAGGTTAAATTTTCTCACTTTCCTGGCATAATTAACATGTTTATCATGACCAATGACTTTGTTATAATTAAGCAGTATATGAAGTATATATTGCTAAGATTGGAAGGAATCTCTTTTAGACATTTCTTCTTACAAGCTTATAAATTTAAAAAGAAAAACTTTTAGGGCCTTACCTGGAGGTCAAGTTGTTAAGACTCTGCCTGCCAATTGCAGGGGACATGGGTTTGATCCCTGCTCTGGGAAGATCCCACATGCCATGGGGCAACTAAGGCCAGAAGCCGTAACTACTGAGCCCACAAGCCAAAATTACTGAAGCCCGGGTGCCTAGAGCCCATGTTCCACAACAAGAGAAGCCCGTACAATGAGAAGCCTGTGCACTGCAGTCAAGAATAGCCCCCACTCCCTGCAACCGGAGAAAGCCCACATGCAGCCACGAAGACCTAGCGCAGCCAAACATAAATTAATAAGTAAATCTTTAAAAAAATACTTTTAATTAAGAGACTCATTTTCCAAACGAATGCAAAAGCCAAAATTCTTTGATAGGTCAAAGTTAGCGTTGGGAATGCTGGTGTTTTGTTCATCTAGTAGAGAATGGGGCTAAAGCAGGGCACAGACATTGGGGAAGACTGTGAGAGGGGCCAGCGCTGGGTGTGTAAGTGTTTTTAGACAGTGTCCTATGGAGACAAGAGTGTGGATCAAACAGGGGTCATGTGAATGCTGCTGAGGCAGGTTGCTTGCATCGATGCCCCAGCTAACGGCTTCCCTGAACTCACACGCAATGCGGTGTGTGACTGCAGCAATTCCATCCCTGAATCTCACCCAGCCTTGTGACTGGCTTTGATCATTGGCTCCAGTTCTGAGCTTTTTGCCTCTTCTCTCTCTCTCCTTTTCTCCTCCTGGCTTCTGCAACAAGAGTGAGCCTGCACCAGTCTGCTGAAAGATGGGAGTCCGCATGGAGAGGAGCCCAGCTGCCCAGCAATGGACAGGCCACACCAGCGGCCAGCCAGCCACCTCCCACACCTGTTGGGGGAGTCAACCAAGATGATAGGAGCTGTCTCCCTGGTGCTTGACCCGTAGCCTTCTGAGCAGTAATAAATGCTTCCTATTTTAACCACTGACTTTTGGAGTGATTTCAGTTTTGTAGTGGTTGCTAAATGATACTCCTGGGTCAACAAGTTACTAGCTGTGTAACCTTCAGAAGTTGCTTCACTCCTTGGAGCCTCATTTTACTCATTGTGGACGATAGCCTTTCAATGTGGGGGCTGTTGTTGCCATTTTACAAACAAATTCTTTTCAAGGTTAAGTGGTTAGCCCCAGTTCAGACAATAAGTTGACACCCATACAATTTTCTCAGAAAGGATCTCAGAGCAAACCAAGTTCCGAGTCTATAGGTAAACTTGGTGAAGAATTCTGAATCGTGTGACCTGAAAGGTGGAAAGGCTCATTAATATTAAGTATTTCCTTAAACTGAATAATTGAAAATGTCAGTGGGGAAAAGATAACCGACAAACTGAATGTAATGCTGGTGGGGACTGATTGTTTTATCACTCTACTCCCAGGGTCTGGCAGAGTCTGTGATACGTTAGTAGATATTGATAAGTATTTTGTGAAAAAAAAAAAAATAATCCATGAATGAATCTGGATGTTACAGGAAAAACATAATTTATCCTTAACTCTGGATAAAAATTTAAAGTTCAAAACTTGAAGCCTCCAACAGACAGAAATGAAGATGCCTTCATTTTCCCCTCACAACCTCCCTCTCAAACCAGTCCCCCACGGGACTCAGGCAGCAGCCCAGCCCAGAACAGGGTTGGGCAGGGAGCAGGGTGTTGAAGGCCTTAGCTTCAAAATCACCTTAATGTCTTGTAGACATCCTCCAAAACATAAGCCCCACCTGGTTCCCACCCCAACAATTCCACTTGTAATTGCTAATGCAAAGCAAACACTTCCCAGTACATATGCATACCCCTCTATATAAGGACCAGACAGGTAGGGCAGGAAAGGATCTTGATAAAAAATTTCTTCAGAATATCTGGAGACAGCTGGATTTTTTTAGGGTTTCATTTGTTTATGTTTTAACTAAGAGGTCCAACTGCTGTTACAAGTAACCACAAATTTAGTGGTCAAAAACAACACACATTTAATATATTACAGTTGTGGAGGTTAGAACTATAACACAGGTCTCACTGAGCTAGTATGAGTGAGCAGGCAGGCCTGCATTCCTTTCTTGAGGCTCTATGGGAAAATCCATCTCTTTGCCTTTTCCAGTTTCTTGAGGTCAACTCATTCCTTAGATTGCTCCCCTCTCCCATCAAGTAAGTCATGAAATCAACAGAGCCCATGATTTCCTTCCATTGTCACAGCTCTGACTATAACTCCTTCTGACCACAGCTCCCTCTGATGGTTCTGGCTGCTGGATTTTGGATTTTAGTTCATGAAGAAATCAAAAAGGCAAGAATCAAAGGGTGAACTTAATAGGTTCAACAATCAAACCTGCCCTTTCTTGAGCAGAGTCCTCAGTTGCCACTTCTTCTGCCAGAACCCTTCTCCCTCTTCTCACAGAACCACCCAACTGGACTGAATTTCCTAAAATCAGGGACCACATCTTCTTCCCTGCTCCTTATCCAACCTCAAGAGGAGGGCTTTCTAGAAGGAAAATGCTGCTAAAGCATTTGCTCATGCATCACAGACTCGGGTACCATTCAGGGTAAACTTCTTGACCTTTTTGCATTGTTAACTTCTTAAGGACCTCAGGAAAATCCAGTGGAGGCCACTGTCCCCAAAACTAATAGGTGGCTCATAGTAGCTTGATTTGGAAGCAGTTTGGCTCTGACTTGCCCTCCCAGAGGGAGGAGTGTACAAAAACCCATGATCAAGTCTCATCACGAAAACAGAACTATCTATGTAGACTGAGGGTGGGTAAACGTCCCAGAGTCACAGATTCTTAATATGTCCTAAGGGATCACTGACTGTTATCTCCACTTGTCTCTTCATCTGTTATTGGGGATATTTATTCAACATTTCTTGAGCACTTGCTATCTTCAGGGACCTATGCTCTGCTAAGGATACAAAGATTAAAGGCAGGGCCCCTGCCCCAAGGCACAGGTCAAGTAGACAACGGCAGCAGAGAGAGAGGATGACTGTAAGTAGACAGGTACATTTGGCGGGAGAGTTCAGCAGAGCATCACTGGAGGCAGGAGCTGGGTGGGGGCACTGGCCTGACTGTCCTCTCACAGGAAAAGTGGGAATTGGATAGATGGGGAAGGGAGGGACGGATATTTCTTGACAATGGATATGGCAAAGGATGAGAGATGCTCAAGCTGGACCGGCTCCAGGCTTGTGAGGAGAGAAGGGCTGTTAGTTGACTCCTCCCGAGACCTCCATCACTTCCATCCTGGCCACACCAGATGAACATACAATCTAAGAAAAAGACATGCAAAAGTGGTTTTATGTCCCCCTCACCTCCAATTTCAATCTGATTATTGGCCTGAAGTAGAAATTCTGGAGGAGCCGCCAGAAGTTTGCTATGGAAGGAGGAGACGGAGCAGGGAAGCTTATGCCACACCAAGAGTCCCCATCACTGCTGGACACGATTTCTCCAACATGCCTCCTCTCTTGCCTGAAGCTGTTGATATAAAGTTATGTATGGATATGAGAGTTGGCCTGTGAAGAAAGCTGAGTGCCGAAGAATTGATGCTTTTGAACTGTGGTGTTGGAGAAGACTCTTGAGAGTCCCTTGGACTGCAAGGAGATCCAACCAGTCCATCCTAAAGGAGATGAGTCCTGGGTGTTCATTGGAAGGACTGATGCTGAAGCTGAAACTCCAATACTTTGGCCACCTGATGCGAAGAGTTGACTCACTGGAAAAGACCCTGATGCTGGGAGGGACTGGGGACAGGAGGAGAAGAGGACGACAGAGGATGAGATGGCTGGATGGCATCACCGACTCAATGGACATGAGTTTGAGTAAACTCTGGGAGTTGGTGATGGACAGGGAGGCCTGGCGTGCTGCGATTCATGGGGTCGCAAAGAGTCGGACATGACTGAGCGACTGAACTGAACTGAGATCATAGAAAAGTCTTATGCCAAGTAAAGAAGCAAACACCCATTCTGAGCTCTCCCTGGCTGTGTCCACCCTGAGAATTTGAGTTTCATTATATGAGATAATGTCCATCGTATACACTTCGGTGTCTCTGCACCCACTAGAGCACCTGCATACAACAGATGCACAATCATTGTTTTTCAGATGAATGAATTTATGGATGAATGAGCAACTGTGGATACTGGTGAGTAAATATTGCTTTGTTTATAATTACAGAAAGAATGGATATATTGCTCAGCGTTGCCCACTGAAAACAAATTTGTTTGAACAGCAATTCAATTACATCAAGAGTAATTGCCCATTGCTGTATTATAGACCTAATCCGATTCCCACAGAAATTAACATATGCATTTTAAAAGCATGATTACAACTGACATTAAATGACTTCCCTGTGGATTCCTTCCTGATGGCAGAAAAGTAAAATTCCGTACTACACTGACTCACTTTTCTATCTCTGAGGAGTTCCTCCCAGCTCAAGTATGACATTTGCTTAAAAGATGAAAACAGCCCCATTCCAAATAAATATGATGTCTGGACACTTTTTCAAGGACAAACATTTTATTGCAATATAGGCACTTGGCAGGGTAAATATGTGATTACAAAGTGGTTTAAGTTTATTTGCTTTATATAGTGACCAGAAACACCAATCCACAGTGTAGATTTCCTTATTGAGGTTGCAGACTTCAGAAGCAAATTGTAAAACCCACTTATTTACGGTAAAGAAGGTACATGTAACTGACTTTTTCAGTGAGTGAAACTGTATTATTTATTTTAGTCAGTGATGTCTTTCTCTTCCCCAAATTAAACTTGCTAGGTTAGCATACATCGTTTAGCTAAGAAATCTGAGAGAACTGTGGAACCCTTTGAAATCACTAGCTCTAATCTGAAGGTTATGAAACCAGACTTGAGAATCTCTGTAGTAAAATGCGGAAGATGGAGCATGAAGACCCATAATTCTTCATACTCGGTCTCTTTCTAAAAATTTTGAACAAGCTGGAATCTTCCTTGTTGTCTCCAAAATGCATTTGTTTTTAAAATGAGTTTACTCTGAATAATGCAAGACACACTGACTCTGCTCTAAGCTGCAAAGGAAAAACTGACAAGTGAATTCTTTTTTAAGGAAAATATTCTTCCTTTGTGAAAGATCAATAAAACAAAACTAGTCATGGAACTTTTGCCAAAAACCATGTCTTGAGGTTTTATGCATTTCAAAGAAATTTGTCCATAGGAGAGAGCCCTTAAGCAGCCTTCAGAGGCTTTTCCTGCTGCTTACTTAAATCACAATAACCTTGCTCCAACCTGGAAACCACTGAAGCAATCTAGACAAGTCTGTATCAAAAGCAAGAGAAACTCCCAGTAATAGGAAACTATTCCACTCAACATGTAAAACAAATGAGGAAATTTTAATTCACTTTAATTTCCTGTTTCATCTTCAAATGGAACACTCACCTCACAATCTAGTGGATGTGTCTCTTATGAAATATGTACAGAAAAACTCTCTGCGTTCTCAGCTCCGTCCTTCCTCTTAATGTCTGGTCCCCTCTACCTGCGGATGGGTAGACACTGCCGTTCATCCATCCAACGAAGTGACAGGTACTCTTGTTTAGGGTTGGAAAAATCTCTCAGCTTTCCAAGCGGGGCCAGGAGCCCTGAGGTGAGCAAAAGGGAGGAAGCTAGAAGCTTCTACGTGGGCTTAGCCTGCGCCAGGACCTCCTTGCTTGCTGATCACCATTCTCCCGGAGGGAAGGGCAGTCCTTGGGGAGGCTGGGCACTGCTCCTTTGGCTCTCGGTCTCACTGGGCAGCGCGTCAGACCATCTGGCCAGTTGCCTTTTGGACTTTGGACTTGATTTAAGGGAAGACTCCCAAGGGCAAAAAGCCCAAGTAAAATATATCTCCTTGCCTGACAGCAAGCCCCAAATAGCCCCAGCACAGCGGTGTGGTGGGTGATCAGTTCTCACATTTCCTGAGGAGCCCGACACAGCAGTTCCTTGTTAGGCACTAGGGATATTAAAGTGACTTGAGAAGCCAAGGAACCCATTATTCAAGTCTGCGTGTGCAGGAAATACACAGGATGACTAAACCCTAGCGTCTGTCCTTGAAGGAAGGAGCCCCTGGAAGAGACAGGAAGTACACATAATTGCAATATTTTGTGCCAAATGCAAGGATATGAGTGAACATGGGCGTGATAAGGACCAGGGAGGGGAGTGACCTCTGCCTTCCACCTATAATGAGAGGATCTAAACATGCTAAGTGTTTAGATCTCCAGGCAAGAATACTGGAGTGGATAGCTATTCTTTTGGCCAGGGGATCTTCCTGACTCAGGGATTGAACCCAGGTCTCCTGCATTGCAGGCAGATTCTTTACTGTCTGAGCCAAGGGTGAAACAATTCAATATGAGAGTATACTGATTATTTTCCATCCCCTATGACCTAGAAATCCAAGCAATTCTTCATAGGGAGATGGAAAGAGAGATATTTTAATTCCTGGTTAAATGGTCAAACTATGGACAAATTCTTAAAAAAAAAAACAACACTGATATTAACTACTTGCTGATGATTATCAAAACAAGCTCTTAGGACATGTTGTGATCTAATACTAAAATTTGTAGAAGGAAATTTCAAGATGTAGACCTGGGACTAAAACTTTTAGAAAATCATCTGGTATTTTTCTGAAGGACAAAAAAATACATCTTTTTAATCTTTGGCAAGAAAGTTCATTCCACCTGTAACACTCACAGGTAAAGGTCATGATCCATTTAGAAAATGTGTTTCCATTTATTTCCATTAAAGCAAGTTCTGGGAGAAAGAAACAGAGCCACTTTCACCACAGTATGAGTGCCTGGGACATAACAAGACTCAATTTGCTGAACAACTGAGCAAATAATTTCCATTGTTGGTAACATCTTTGGAACTTAATGATCTATAACTTGGTTTCTCTCTGTCTTCCTTTCTGTCTCCCTTTTACTTTCCTCTTTCCTTTCTTCTTTTATTCATTTATTCACTTTATTCCCTCTTGGGAATAAACCAGGACTGTTTCAATGGAAAGAAAGAAAGTTGTCATGTTTTGAAAATCAGTATATATATTTTTTCTTTCAGATTAAATTCCTTTGGGTCCTTTCATTTATGCTAGACAAGCACCTAATCTTTTTTTTTTCTTTTGTTCTTTTTTGTTACTATGCCTAACACAGCATGTGTTGTAGAATAGCTGTTGAAATAATGTTTAATTGGTTGGTTTTATGCTTGATAATTTAGCTAAGCTCTTTCTCTGCACAGTCTAAGGCTAATTTGGAATGCTTTCAGCCTTAAACATGCCAAAGAAATTTCCTTGCCTCATCTCATGTTCTCCAAAAAGTGATTCATTAATAAGAATTAACAAGATTAATTAGTAGGAAATTGATAGCGGCATTGGTAAGAGGCCCAGCCAGCCCCCCAGACCACAACCCTGCTCTGTTTCCGCTCAGCCTTCCTGGGATGTCTCAGGCTGATCGCTCAGGCTCTGCGGGCCGCACACAGCAGGCGGGAGGCGCCGGTGCGCACCATCTCCCTTTCCTGCAGCCTGGCTTTGGACAAACGGTGAGGCTGGATTGACAGGATCTACCTTTGCATTCTCACAGAACATGAAGAAGCCTTAAAGTGCATTAGAAGAGAATGTGCAGGGTGCCCGGCTGTCTCTGCCTTCCCCGCAGCCCCATCCCGCCCTGGGCCCCTCAGCTGCCTCTCATCCCCCACACACTCCATTACCTTTGTAATTCCTATTCAAATGCTAAAGCCATAATTCATGGGAGGACAGTTCCATCCACAAAGGTCTGCCTCAGTGCTCCTGCCCCGTGCACAATTCCCTCTGGCTTCATTATACAAATTAAAGAAGTACTTCATGCCTTTTTTGTTTTTTTGGTTTTTTTTGGTAACAACTTGCAGGCCCCCCCCTCCCCCTTTTGGTTGAGTTTGTTCCAAGAAAGACTTTGGCCACGTTGTCCCTTTCACTCCTCTGAAGGGGGCTCTGGGGGGTCTTCTCTCTGTGTATCTAGGGTATCGGGGTTCACATCGTTCTCCGCCACCCACTGACACTCGGGAACGGGGTCGGCCTTCCTCTCCTGGGCATCCTCGCTAGTGGCAGGCTGGGCTGGGCTGCAGCTCCTGCCCACCGCCTCTTCTTCCACAGAAATCTGGCTCTCCCTGGGGCTGACGGGGTCAGAACGGACCATGCAAGCTTCTAGGGGCACAGCCTCAGCCTCCACAGAGCACACGGGCTCTCCTCCTTCGAGGGCGCCCAGTCCGGAAGCACCCCCTGTGAGCTTGCTCTCGGCGGGCCCTCCTGCCTCTCCTGGCTCTTCTGTGGGGTCTGGGCCCAGAGCCCCCTCGCTGAGCCCCCCGCCGGCTGGCTGAATGTCTGGAAATTCTCCCAGCTCCACCCCGCTGGCCTCGGCCTTGGGAGCTGGACCATGGGCCTCCCCCTCACTGACTTCACTTTGTTCACAGTTGTCCTGACCCGAGGCAGACACTTGACTGGCCTCTGTGTCGATTTGGGTTGCTTCCTCTTCTTTTTCAATATCTTGGGGAACAAGGGTCTCCTCATGTGTATCTTTCTCAACCTCGAGCACAGCGGACTCCTCTGGCACTTCGACGGTCACCATCAGCAAATTTCTGAGCTCTTTCAAGGAGCCTGCAGCAGAGGTGGGTTCTGCGTCTTCCTGGGTGGGTTCTCGGTCCTCAGGAGTCTCTTCCAACTCCAGCTGTGACAAGTGTGTGCCCAGGGCGCCTGCTGTCACCTCTGTAGCCATCAGATTCACAGCCGGGCCATCTATACTTGAATCGATGACCTGCCTGTCCCCATCTGGGGGAGGGTTGGACACAGGGAGGGAAAGGCCTTCTTCTCTGGCCAATGGACTAGGGGCCTCTGGCTGTTTCATCTCCCCTGCCTCCTGGAACACCTCATTATTCAGGATCTCACTCTCTGAAACTCCGGGCAGAACGGCCAAGGCTCTCCTGGCGGGGCTGGCCTGGTTTGACCCCACAGGAGTTTTTAGATCAGTGAGGCTGGACACGCTTTCACTGGGCAAAGCCAGATTGTCTTCAAACAAATTGTGTTTCTTCAGGATCGCAGCCTCCTTTATCACTGAGAGATACCAGAAAGCAAAACATAATGTTAAAACCTTGCCCTGGCTAAACTGGAATTTCTGATTTTATTCAGAAGCTAAACTCCCCTCTCAGCTTTTCTAACTGTCTGAATTTCCCAATTTCAAATCCCAGCTTACTTCTAACCCTCTTTCAGGAAGCCTTCCCTGATGACCAGAGCCTACAGACTCATTCCAAACCCTGAACCTCTGTGATGTCACTCATTCATTCCTTCACTCACTCATTTATTCAAACAGCACATTTTTACTGGACGTCAACTACGGGACAGGCTCTAAGAATCCAAAGATGAATGAATAAAACATGGCCTTGGCTTTCAAGGAGGTCAAATCTACTAGCATCTTTGGTATCACCCTTGGAGGCCCCACCACTGCTCATTAGCTGCTAGTATGTGTGACTGCAGTGCGTCTACTTCGACTGACACTCCTTTAGGGCAGGACAGGCCCTTATATTCCCCGCTTTCACACTCAGAACAGTCCTGAATGTGTAACAGGTCCTTAGTACTGAGCCTGCAGAGAGAGCCTTATGACCTGCAGTGTCCAAACTAAAGGCCTCTGTCCATCCGGCTCAGTCCTAGAGGCCCCAAGAGGAGTAAAATCAGTAACAGTCATTTCCTCCATATGCTCTCCAAAATTTATTGTTCGTAGGTTTTTTTGATTATGCCCACTCAGGTCAGAGTGAGGTGATACCTCATTGTAGTTTTGATTTGCAGGTCTCTAATAATTAGCATAATTAACATAACAATTGAGCATCTTATCTTCTGTTTGTTGGCCATCTGTACTACACAGCACAAGGAATTCTACTTATGGTGATGTGGCGACCTGAACGGGAAGGAACTCTAAAAGGGAGGGAACATGTGTCAATGTACCGCTGATTCATTTTGCTGTATGGTAGGAACTAACACAACACTGAAAAGCAACCATCCTCCAATAAAAATTAATTTTAAAAAATAATGACAACCAGCAGCTGACGTTGTTGACAATCAGCCTCTACCTCTGGCTGTGTAGGTTGGACAGTGCCCAGCAATTTCACACCCAAGGGGATACCATTCACATCACAGATCTGTGTATTCAGCAGAGTGATTTTCCAGCAGGCTGCAGCAGCATGTCCTGCTTGAACCAAACCAGTATATCGCGACAATTTTTTGACAGAGAGCAGTCCGCCGTCTGGAGGAAGAGCGCTTTTTTTCTAATTCGCCCAAAGGTGCTGTGGTGGACTGGCACTGGCCTTGGCTGAGCCCGTCTTCCTGTGCAGATACTGAGACAACATCTTTGTATTCTTTATCTCATTGGATGAGCTACTCTGACCTGGGGCTTGTGCTTGGCCGGCTTTCTTTGTGGAAACCAGATATGTTTCAAGCCTATAGTTTTAGAGACCGCCCTCTCCTGTGTATTTCTATCAAAGCTTTCCTATCTACACTCCTATCCTGAGCAGGGCCTGACTCCACGGTATACTGGGAGCCAGAGTCCTAGTGGGACTCGCCAAGGACGGAGTCATAGCCCAGTAAATTCTGTCTGGCTGAGTGGAGGTGAGGAATGTGCTGAGAGGGCAGAGCAGCTGGGAAGCCCCGCTGCTGAATCACCTGCTCCAGGCTGGGGAGGCGTTGTAAGCCTGTGGCCAAGAAGAGCTCTTTTTCCTTTGTTCTGTCTGGAACAGCCGGAGGAGGCCAGCTGTTCATGAGACACCCTAGGTTAATCTCTCTAACCTTAGTTTTCTCATCTGAAAAATGAAGCTTAAAATTCTCAGTTCAGAGTTCTTATTTGGATTAAAAACGAAATAATATCGAATGGGCCAGTGGAGTGTGAGCCAAATCGTGACCGCTCCAGAAGAAGCGGTCAGAAGGAGGTCAGCGACCCTTGCTTCTTCCGTCCCTTGTCCTCTGTCTCCCCAGCTCTTGGTGTCAATTTCCTCTTCCCCTTTCATTCCTGTTCACAAAACCTAGCTAGCCTTGGTCCCCATCAGGGGTGTGCCCCTCTATCTAGAGCTTTCTCCAGCACCAGGGAAACCTTCCATACCTTTCAGACTTTCATCTAGGAGGATCTGATATAAAATCTCCTCATAGACATTTTCAACATGGATCATATTGGTGTGATCTGCAAAGATGTACTGCTCATATTTCTGAAGCTCCTGGAGAAGGAGAGATAAGAAGATAAAAGGGGACAACACATGAGACACCAGTTTGCAGAGGAGCTCCGGAGAGGACAGCTGTCCCTCTTGTTCCCCCTTGGAGTGTGAAGCACTGGTCACCTGCTTCCTTTCCCCCAGACACCATGCCCTGGACTGGGTTCACGCTCTATGCCCTTTGAGGGGGCAGACACCAGAGACCCGGATGATTTCAAGGCCTTGTGAGTGGGTCTGGACATTTCCTTCTTTTTCTTCTTTTTTAATGCCAACAGTACTTTACTAAGGTGTAAGATATACCGAGAAAAATGCACGTGTTTTAAAAGCAGAGCTCAATGACTTTGAATATATAAATATACTCAGATAACCATAACCCAGATCAAGGTGAACATTTCCATCACCCCATACCTTTTTCCAGTCTAGACTACTCACCAAGAGATTAAGCTCTGATGTTGAGTCTATCACATGAGATTAGTTTTTCTTGTTATTTAACTTTACGTAACTGGAATCCTGTACTCTTTTTTTATGTTTGTTTTTGGAGATTCACCCATGTTGCTGCATGTGTCAGTAGTTCATTCTTTTTTATTGGTAAGTGGCACTCATCATATGGACAAGATAGACTGTTGATCTATATTCCTATGGATGGATATTGACTTATGAACATAATTGCTATTGACAGTCTTGTGTATGATTTTGTGGATTTAGGGCTTACTTATCTTGAGTGTATACCTAGAAGTGAGATTGCTGGGTCCTAGAGTAGATGTATGTTTAACCCTTAGGATGCGTCCCATTTTCAGGTGTGGAGAATCCCTAGTCACAGGCTCTTGAGAAACATTCTCCTCTTTCCCTCCAACTGGCCCTGGAACTCCTTGATTCTAAGACAATCCAGGCATCACACAAAATCCTGTAACACTTCCTGCTTTCCAAGGGTCTCCACGTGGCTTGCCTGTTATCAGTACAAGGTCAAGGAAGGGATCAAAATGAGCCAAGTCATATCCTCATGACTAACTCCATAATCCTCGCACCTGACAGTGCAGGATGAGGGCTCCTGACACCTGGTTCTTAGAGAGCCAGGGTCTCAGCAGTGGGATTCAACAGCTTTTGCCTGGAGAGAGGAGATTTACAGCAGGCCATCAGAAGCCACCTCATTCAGACTCTCAGAGCCAAGACAGGGGGGTCTGTAGCCCAGGACTGGATCCCAGTGGGTAATAATGGGGCCCCTCTCTACCCACACTAGGATGAAAGAGACATGAGCTTCCAGGACCCTGAGAGGGTCTGTGAGACAAGACTGATGCATAGATAAGTGCCACGTGGGCAGAGCAGTGCTCAGGGACTGCACACTGCCCTGGACTGGCTGTGGGACCCTGGGCAAGCCAGCTCACAGCTCCTTGCCTCTCTCTTCCTCTGCAAAATGAGGTTTGTGTCTACACCACCGCTCATCTCCCCACGTGATCTTCCATTCCTTCAGTCAGTTCAGTTCAGTCGCTCAGTCGTGTCCGACTCTTTGCGACCCCATGAATCGCAGCACGCCAGGCCTCCCTGTCCATTACCAACTCCCGGAGTTTACTCAAACTCATGTCCATGAGTTGGTGATGCCATCCAGCCATCTCATCCTCTGTCTTCCCCTTCTCCTCCTGCCCCCAATCCCTCCCAGCATCAGGGTCTTTTCCAAAGAGTCAACTCTTCGCATGAGGTGGCCAAAGTACTGGAGTTTCAGCTTCAGCATCAGTCCTTCCAGTGAACACCCAGGACTGATCTCCACTCCTTAGTTCCCTGTTATTCCTCCCTCAGGACTGGGTGAAAACATGGCTCTGGGAAGTCCTCTCCGGCCCTGTGGGCAGAGTTGGGCACCCTCTTCCGAACTCGGCCATCTCTCCTCCCACAAAGCTCCTGCCGTGTTCACCACAAAGTGCGCTCTGCGCCTGTGTTCTGTGTCTAGGCTGGGAAGCCCAGGACAAAACAGGGGCACTGGCCAGGCACGTGCCTGGATCATGCTTATACATGTTTGCTGAATAAACAGCAGGTCTTAGAACTTTCAACCAGCTAAGTAATTGTGTGGAACAGAATCATTCCGAGGGGCACTTATCCTCTTATGATGTGCACAACTTTACAAAACAGGTTTTCTATATTGAATTGACTGAACTGTGACACATATTAATTCCCTGGATCTGTTAGCCTTTGAACTTTCAACCAGCTAAGTAATTGTGTGGAACAGAATTATTCCGAGGGGCACTAATCCTGTTGTGATGTGCACAACTTTACAAAACAGGTTTTCTATATTGAATTGACTGAAATGTGACACATATTAATTCCCTGGATCTGTTAAATTGGAATTGAAAAAAAAAAAATCTCCCCAGGAAATTCTAATGTGCAGCCTGGGTTTAAGTACCACAGATCTTTGAACCAAGGAAAACGCACTTTACTAAAGAATCTTTGCAAAAAAAAAAAAAAAAAGAATCTTTGCCTGTAGCAGATGCTCCCCTAGTTCACCTACTCTGTAAATCCAGATGTTTTTAAATTTCTTGATACTGATACAATATTCCTCATTACTGAAAATGCCAGGCCTCAATTTCTCTCCAAACTGGTCTCTCTTGATTAAAAATCACAAGCGCCTCTTAGAGATTTGGTATAACTCTGCGGATGGCTGGAGAGAGAGGAGCAGCCAGGAAGAGGGGCTTTTTTTACCCTTTTCCTCTCTTGGGAGGATGTAGCTCCAAGGCCCCCACATTGCTTTTCGGATTGGAAAAGAAAAATACCCTATACAGAACGTCTGCATGCAGACATGTCCAAGGTGGACTGAGTATTCCTTTGAATGCCTACACTTTTCCAGCCATAAGATGGAAAATGATATAGGCAAGAGACAATCATATAGGTTGATTCTTTACAGCCTTGACTTGATCAAACCTTTTCTATGAAAGAAATTTACCCTCAAAAATAAGTGCCAGGTACTTGGTATGCCTCTGGTTCTCTGAAGAAAAACAACATGTACAGAATATAAAAAGGATCAAGGAAATGTCTGCAGTAAAATATGGACTTTAATGTTCCAATGTTTGGAGACTCTCTAAGCTGCAAAAAGCCCTTTTCAAATTCTAAAAAGCTCTTTATCATTTGTGCCAAGAGGGAGCCAGCCTTGCGAAGGTTCCAGCTTGTAGATCATGTCATGAAGCTGCAGAAAAAGTAGCAGTGAGTACCATTTATTGAGTGCATCCATGTTATCGATGAATGTGAGCTGAGTTCAAACTCTGGGGGATTCCAGCTCTGTGACCTTGGTCCCATTACTTAACGCCCGCCCCCGCCCCAGGCGTCCTCATTTGTGCAGTGAGGACATAAACAGTACCTCCTCACGGCGCTGTCACGAGGATCAACAAGACAATCCATGCAAAGTGCTGAGCATGTGCAAGTACTCATCAAACGTTCACCATGGCACCCTGGTCTTCTCAGTCTTAAGAAGGATACTGCAAAGTATTACCTCCGTTTTCTAGATGAAATTTAGGCCAAGAGAGAGGAAGAGGGTCTTGCCCAAGCCCCCAGAGCTGATATGTGGAGGAGCTGGGACTTGAACCCAGGTCTTGACCTGGCCTCCTTAGTTGGTTCACCTATGACCCTGCTCTGCAGACCTAGTCACATCTTCACAAGCATGGCTGTCACTGGTTGCCTAGTGTTCATAGAAGCTTTAGATGGTTTCAGTTTCATTGATTTCAGTAATCTAATATTACTGAAATTATAAATATCCTTCTGAAATTGTGTGACTTAAGGTCTTTTCCGGGATGAAGTGGTCAAGTTTCAGAGGCTGTGTTGGGCCTATGGTGGGTGGTTGGGGGGTCACACCATAATGAGAAACAATCCTTAGGCACTCTACTGCAACCCTTAACTTGGTTCAAACTCAGATCATTACCTTTCGAGATTCTGTCTTATCCAAGGGTTGGCAAATCCAGACAGCTGCTTGTCTTTGTAAATAAAGTTTAATTGGAACACAGACTGCACATTCATTTATGGGTTATCTATGACTGCATTTGTGCTATCATGGCAGAACTGTGTGATTGCAACACAAGTAGTATGGCCATGAAGCCTAAAATATTTGCCACCTGACCACTTAGAGGAAAAGTGTGTTGACCCCTCCCTTGTCATCTACTGCTTTTAAGTGCATCATGGACCAAAAAAATTTACTTGAACTTCATAGGCAACAAAAGCAGGTTCTGGAGTAACCCATCCCTTACTGGTTTGCACACGGATGCCAAAGCCTTCTGCAGGGTGGGAAGTGTGATTTGAACCAGCGCCTCTTGAAATATCCTCTTCCGGATGGTGCTGCTGTCGTAATCATATTGCTGTCGGTACAGAGACAGAAACATATGCTAAATACAACATTACAACCTGTTAACTTCTGCGTAAACAAAAACTCAGCAACTCACTTCGTCTCCCTCCCCACCCCCACCCTCCCGTCCTAATTCCTGAGGACCCAAGTGGTGTTCTAAGGTTTCAGAGACCTTTCTGTGCGGTTCTCTCACATTTCAGGTGGAGGTTATGACTGTTCATGACCCACCTCAGCCTCCCCTCTTACAGATACGAAAACTGAGGTAAGATCAAAGCAGAGCGTTATTATAAAGTTGAAGACAAAACTAGGGGATGGGTTAAAACTTCATCACCCCTGTCTTGGGTTGGCGCCTGGGAGCCGTGATCATCTCCCTTTACTCTACATCCTGAAAGCGGGATCGGTAGGTTGTAATGATTTCTGCCAAAGAAGAGAGTGTCTGGCTCACAGCTACATTAGCACTGTGGTATGTTCAACAAAGAAGTTCAATATCTAGAATAGGAAAGAGGATGTCTTATCGACACGTGGAACAGCCAACTCTAGAGACCAGGGTTTGATTTTAAAGGGGGTTCACGCAGAGGGCACAGACAGACTGGAGCATAGTCACAGGGATGTGTGCAGAACAGTCAGGCAAAACAAAGAATGGTTACAGAGATTTATGCCAGAGATAACGTGGGGTAAAATCATAGCTCTCTCAAACAACCAAAGACTACCATGTGGAAGAAGGGCATAAGAAAAGAGGGTAGAACTAGAATTATCAGTGGTGAGAACTTTGACTTAGCATTGGGAAGTATGTTCTCGTACTTTAAAGTGTCCAGAGAAGAGATGGACTGTCCTGAGAGGTAAAAATTGTGTTGCCATGGGAGGTGGCACTGACCTTGATACTATCTTTTCTTTCTCAATGGCAAGTTCATTATTTTGTGTGTTACCATGGCAATTATTGCTCTTAATCTCAATGATTTAGTTGCCAGAGTTTCCTACTGCCTGTGAGGTATTAAGATCAGGTCTGAAATTCAGGGACCACCTCCTAGGCTCTGTGAGACTTTGATCTTCCATTCCAGAGCTCTGCTTAGGGAAAGTGGGTCATAAAAAAATTAGTGGACTAGGTTTAGGAATAGTTTTAGCTCAAAGCTCAAGTAGCCTGTTAAGCTTATGTAAGTCAAGTTCTTGTGAGGATCAAATGAAACAGGATAAGTTTTTCTAAAAAGCTTAAAGATATGCCCTATGTATATGCAAGCTCCTATTATTACAACTATTTTGATAGACACTTATGCATGAAGCACATTTAAAACAATTTGACACAACAGCTGTCCTTTCCTTGAAGTAGCTCCTTTGCCATGAGTTTTTGAGTTTTCTAAAAACTGTTAATTTAATTGGGCTTTACTGTACTGCAAACTCTGAAGAGATTGTGTCTTTCATATTTTCATATTCCATGCACTACCTCTCACAATTCTTTGCTGATAGTGGACAGTCAATATCAAGTCCAATTGCTACATAAATAAGCCTAAGACATGTCACTGGTGACCAATGATGCCGAGGACCTGTGGTCCCTAAAGTAGCCACTAGATGGCAGAATAGGCACGACAGTCGAAGGGGAACTGCTGCTAAATGATTGTTACTGGTTATCAGGAAGAAGGGGCCAGGCAATATTTTGAAAAGGGGAGGCAAGTCAAAGAGAGAACTTGATATTTTCCACTTAACAAAAGAAATGAGTCACGTTCTTGCTTCATGCTTCCCGCAAGTGAGAGAACAATTTTACCTTTAAGACTCGGAGCTTAACCTTCTCAATGGCGACTGTGGTTTTGGAGGCCTCTCCTTGGAGATGTGGAGAAAGCAACTGCTCAAAAGTGAATACTGCGTTCTCCATCAGCTAGAAACCAGAGCAGCACAGAAACAGTGCAGTCAGAAGCTGGGATCGCCACCCTCAGGTCTAAGTCAGCTTGGAGAGAAAGGAGGGCATGACCATCAGGGATGGTCACTACCCTGGGAGTGACCCAGGGCAACAAGTCCCCGTTCCACTGTGTGGTCTGTGAAATGCATAAGCCCGCAACCACAGTGCGGTCAGTAGGAGGCTGGGAAGCACACACACAAAAACACATACACCTGTACCTGTATGCATACATGCATGTGCACATGTATGTATCTTCTCTTCTCATCTCTCCTTCCATCCTGCACCGGAAAACCCAAGACCACGGGATGGGATATCATCATTTCCTGTGGTCATTCCCACCCCTGCAGCCAGGGCTTAATGAAATGAGGCGGGAGGCTTCTCCAATTATTTTTTGGCTCCTTAGCTCTGCACCTCTCCTTTCAGATGGATGTAAACCACCCCAGCACAACTCTCACTCCACTTTTCACCCTCCTACCCTACCTCTCTCCCTTTCTCTGCCAGGCTGGGGAAGGAGACAGGGTCAAGGCTCAGTGGAGCCCGTGACTGTCACACTCACGGGTTAGGAAATGGAAGTGGTTCAGATTTCTTATTCTCTGCGCTTATGCCTATATCCATTGCACCTTAGAGCAGTGCTGTCAAAGGAACTTCAGTTAAGCCGTTGGCCAATTTTGCTTCTCATTCATCTTTAATCCTTCACAACTCAGAGGTTAGATAATAAATAAAATGTGCCACTTATTCCTGCCTATAACTTTTAAGGGAAAAAAAAAAAAATCTCGTTCCGTCAGGCCGGCCGGCTCTGAGCGCGGGCTCCGCCGCCCGGCTCTCACCTTCACCTACTGCGGGCGAGCCGCTGCAGAGGGAGCGCCAGGCCCGGGCGGAGTGCGGGCTCGCGCAGCAAGTGAGCGCCGAGGTCGCGAAATGGGTCCGAGTGAACCGGAGACCCCGAAAACGGAAACGAAAGGACAGAGAAGAAGTGTTTGAGAAGCTTCTTCCAGACCAGCTGGTCTTGCTTCTGGAGCATCTCTTGGAGCAGAAGACTGTAACTCCGCGAACTCTGCAAAGCCTTGAGAGGACGTACCACCTCTGGGAGCAGGATGCCGAGGTTCGCCATCGCTGGTGTGAACTCATTGTTAAGCACAAATACACAAAAGCGTACAGAGACGTGCAGAGGTTCCTTCAGGAGGATCAGGCCATGGGCATCTACCTCTACGGGGAGCTGATGCTGAGTGAGGATCCGCGGCAGCAGCATCTCGCCCGCAGGTGCTTTGAGCTGAGCAGGGAGCAGATGGACAGATCCTCAGCCGAGGTGGTGGCTGAGATGTTATTTTAATGAGGAAAGATCACAGCGAGAATCTTTTTCATGCATCTGCTCGTAGCCCCGGTGGGCCCAGGCTTGCATGGACCCTGGACATGAAAGGAAGAGCGGTGGGGCTGCTGAAGCCGGCAGTCAGTGGCCGCCTGCGCCTTGTTGGGTGACCTCCCCAAAGGTCCTCACCGCAGAGCTTGTGTCAAGGGACGCACCCTCATCAGCAAGTCTCCGTAGGCCCGTGTGATGCCTTCATGCCCATCCTGGATGAACCACCTCAAGATCCTGAATGTTAATTGAGTTTCCTCTTTGAGTTAAGTCAGTTCTTCCACCCAAACACGGAAGGTCCCTGAGGCACATGGGAAAACCCACTGCACCTTCTCCACCCATCCCTCAGCGTGTGGATCTGCATTTCCGCACTCCGAGAAAGCCAGAGCTTGTCCACTAGGCCCAAGGAGCTGCTGCCCACCTACTCAGAATTACATTGATATGTCCATTATTTAGATTTTCCAAAGTTTTAGTAACTTTTGATAGAAGTGCAGGATAAGATTCTTTAAGATTTGTTGATAATATAATGGATTCATGGTTTTTTTTTTCCTTCTTCCTGTTTACTTCTGAATTTAATACTTAAAAAAAAAAAGAGAAAAGGGTGTAGTGTCCACATTTTTGTCTCCTCCTTTTCTCACCTCCCTGGTTCCTCTAGTGTTCAACGTGGTGCTGATACTCGGGGGCGGTGGCGGAGGGGGCCCGTGTGCCTCCTGCACCTGATAAAGGCACGGTCAGGCTTCGCCGTACGCCACGGGAACCTGTGCTAATGGTGCTTCTCTTTCCCACAAATGTTTGAAGTTAAGAATAGAAACTAAGCTTCCCGGATTGCCCAAAGGGAAGGGTGGCCTTAAAACACCCCAGAAGCCACAGTGGTTGGTGCAGGCACGTGATGGATGGCGTGAGGCTCAGCTGAGCGGGAGTGGAAGCCCCCCCGCCCCTGCCCCCACCCCCCGCCTGCGCCGTTGGCGCCTCGAGCCAGCCTGGGGGCGATGGGCAGCTCAGCACAGCCCTGCATTAGAAGCTCCTGACCTTCAGAATTATGTAACAGTGACTGTCATTTTAGAAAGTTGCCTGAGGGTTGATTCTTTGCTCTTACGTGTACTTTGCATATGTTGCTTCTGTGTGCTTTGTTTACTGTGTTGTTATAATAAAAGTCTGATTTTTAAATAGGAAAAAAAAAAAAATCTCCTTTCTTCCCCAAGCCTATGATCTGAAAGTATCCAACACAATAGCTTTCCTCTAAGCACTTTCAACAGGCATAGTGAATTTATCTAAGAATCTATCTCACTACCAGCTCCCTGAAGTGGGGTCTGGCACAATGTCCAACCCACAGGAAGCTCCCTGGGAATACTTTCGAAGTAGAATTGCGCTCTTACCGGCTTCAGTGATCACACCCTTCCTTCATTTAGAAAGCGTTAGAATATGGAACGAATTTGTGCTATTCATCTCGGTTCCTAAAGAAAAAGTTCTTTATGGGAAGGAAAAAGGAATCTATGAAGTAGACTCAAGAAATCCAAATTTAAAACTGAGATTGATTGACTGATTTAACTAGATTAGGGAATTGATTCAAGCTAGTGGTTCTCCATTCTAGCTGCATATTAAATGCAGTAGGAATGGGAGTGGGAGAAGTTTTAATTACAAAAAATATATATCAAAATCACTGGGAGTGTGGCCCAGACATCAGTATTTCTTAAAAGCAACCCAGATGATTCCAACATAAAGCCAGCATTAATAGCACTGACTTGACAAATCAAGTAATTATCAATTAATGCTACTCTATTTCCCTGAGACATTTCTTCTCTATGAAGGTCATCAACATGGAAAAAATGAAGCCAGCTGGAACAGGACAAAACATGTCATCACTCAACAGCATGACTAAAGAAATGGGCCCCGTTTCCCCCAGCCACGCCAGCACACCTGTCTCATTGGCTGAGCTTGTTTCTCTGGAACCCCAGCCTCTTCCACCACGGATGACCCCGCCGCCCCTACCTCTTGCATGTAGTTTTGCGTCCTCTGGACCACCAGATCGATGTGGGGGAACCTGAAGCGGCTCTTGAGATCCTGAAGGTGCTCCTGCAGCAGGTTGACTTTATCATAACAAGGCTCCATCTTCACGGAATCCAGTGGAAGATTCATAAGCTGGTCTAGATGCTGCATTTTGGTGGAGGGAAAAATAACACACCTTCAGACCTAGAACTACATTACATCACTATTGTGTGTGTGCGTGCTCAGCCGCTCAGTTGTATCTGACACCTAGCGACTCCATGGACTGGAGCTCACCAGGCTCCTTTGTCCATGGAATTTTCCAGGCAAGAATACTGGAGTGGGTTGCCATTTTCTACTCCAGGGGATCTTCTTGACTCAGGGATTGAACCTGTGTCTCTTGTGCCTCCCGCATTGGCAGGCAGATTCTTTACCACTGTACCACCTGGGAAGCCCATTCCATGACTATTATGTAAAGTCTAAACAATCAAACATATGTTATTAGAGTGAATCACTTCTCAGATCTGTGATATCTTCCTTGTCTTATTTCCCTCCTTTGATGGGTCCCTAGGACAGTTCCCTTGCTAGGAGGGAGACAGGTAGAAGAACCAACCGGACAATGGACACATCCAGGGATGCACTCCACGGGACTCCAGTCTTGTCAAGCTCTTGATGGACTGCAAGTACCCACTTCCGGAGCTCAAGAGTTCAGCAAGCCTCCTTGGCACATGGGACTGCTGCTGGGTCACACGCCTCCAGAGCCGTGTTTCATGAGAGACACCCCTCTCCGAAAACCCCGGGGGGTCAAGATGGCCCCTGGACTCCTGGACTCCAAGAGCAAAGCCAGGGTCCCTGGAGCTCCCTGGGGCTTTGTCTGTGCCAAGGGCTTCCCTCTGCTAGGAGATGGGGACTGGGGGGAGGGAGTGAGAAACAAAGAAGTGTGGTCTAGAAGAGGTATCCAGTTTTAAAACTGGGGTTCCCCATCCTCTAGTCTGTGCAAGTGATAGCTCCATCAGTGAGGCCATACAATTCCCAGCAAGAGGACAGCAACAGACCTCATCTGCTAAAGACCTTAAGTATTACCACCACAGACTTGCACTATGAGTGATTTCATCAACAGAGTGCATCCTATTTTCCAAGCCTATTTAAAAGTGATTTTAAAAACTGAATTTTGGAGTTCTAGAATAAACAAGAGGGTGGGTGGAGAAAGAGAAAACAGAATGAAGCGTGCTGAAAACACAGGCCTAGAGAGAACTGGGGAGTAACAGGGTAACTGTGAACAAGACAGGATATACTTGCTTGAGTTTCAGGTCACAGAAAAGAGATAAATCCAGATTTCTAGATTTCTCTAAAGAAAAATTTAACAAGGGCCCACTTTCATGGTGCTTGTAAGAGGAAAATATTACTCCCTTAAGAAATGAGTTCTAGAGAACTCCACTGAAGTAAAATTAATGACCAAAACCATGCTGTCAAACTTGTCCCTTGTCACATAATTTGCAATGTGTCTATTTTTTAAAATAGCAATTAAGCAGACAGGAGAGGAAAAATCAGTTACCACTTTGCTCCTGTAATACTGGCAAAAAGTTGAACAAGTGATTCCCTAAAGCTGGTGAGAAGAAAGTCCTTTGCCAGGTACAATTGGTGGAAATGTAAAATCTAAATCTTTTTTGGGGGATGTTAATGGAGACATCAGTTAACATGAGAAAAATTCCCACCTTTCAACCTAGCAGTCCTGTCCTAGGAATCAGATTCCATATATATAAAAACTTCAAAGTAAATGAATATATGTTACAAGGTTATTTATTGCAGCTTTTTCCTGGTGCTAGCAACATTTGGATGGTTGAATAAATCATGGTGTGTTGGTACATGAAATATTATGCAGCTGTTACAAAAAATGAACTAGAACATTATCTTAAAAACAGTTTCATGAGGTATTTTTGAATAAGAAAACAGAAAAGCAAAGCAATATATATATATATAATATAATCCCATTTTTCTAAGAGCAAACAACCTAAAAAGACATATCCCACAAACATGTGTTTTATATGCTATATGAGCATGGAGAAAAGCACAGAATAGCGTATGCTAAGTTGCGACTAGTTGCTTGAGTGGGAGGAGGGGATGTGGGGGAAGGAGGGAAAGTTAAGTTTTAGAAAGGCTATCATGAGAAACCTCAAAATACTAACAAATGATCTTGTTTATATACAATTTTGTGTATGTATGCATAAAAAAAGAAAGTTGGTTTTTTTTTTGGTTTTATCCACTGTCTTGACTCATAGGGATGTTCATCATGATACAGCAAGTGTAAAATAAAGCTGCCCAGTTATGTCTGTCACTTTAGGATACAGCAAGTCCTCTGGAGGTCTTGTTGAACCAGACTGCTGCTGGGCCCTACCCCAGGGTTTCTGAGCTGGTAGCTCATCGGTGCGGCCTGAGAATTTGCATATTTAGCAGTCATATGGTGAGGATGATACTAGTCCCAAGAACATACTTTGAAAAACACAGGTTTTTGTCATGCTTTTGGAAGCAAATCAACCAAAACACAAAATATATATAAATGAGGATATATGCATATATATTTGTACAGGCAAGGACAAAGCATGTGAAAACACATACTAAGCTATTTATATTAGTTAATTCAAGGAGTTGGAAGTGGAGATACTTTAGGAGTTGGGGGTGGGCTAGAATTAGGTGGGTATGAGCGATGGTGATTAATTTTGCTTTTATGTAAGTATCTTTGTATACTCTTTAACTTGCATAAGCATGTTATTATTTTTGTAACATGAAAACCATTAATGAAGGAAATCAAGTAGATGGATGGATGAATGGATGAATGAATAATGTGGATGAATGAATGCCAGAAAGACTAGATGAACAGATGCAAAGGCAGATGAATGGAAGGCAGGGCAGAAGAAAAGACTGGAGAGAGAGAGAGAGGGAGGGAAAAAAGAAAGAATGAATACAGACAAAGACCCACAAAAAGAGCATTCCCACCCACTCCTTCACTTCATACCCTACCTCCTTTAGCTGGGCACTGTCTTTGGTGGTCTGAAAGCTCTGGCTAAGTTCATCCACTTCTTTTTCAAAGAGTGAGCGCAGTTCACTGAATCCCGAGCTCACGGGTCCCATCAACTCCTCCAGAATGGACCCCAGGAATGGCTGCACACTCTCTGCACAGCTTCTCTCTGCTGGCTGAGCGACCATTGCTGAGGGAGGAAATAGCCAGGAAACTGAGTGATGGCAAAGCTGGATTCAGAGTCACTGGAGCCAGGCCAGGCTGGACAGTGCCCCAAGGAGACATTGAACAGCCAACGCAAGCTCAAACAGGCAACACAGATGAACAGTATGTTCTGTGCCAGCACTCACCAGAATGGAAAACCATCAAAGAGAATCTCTCCTTGAGAACTCGAACAAAGAGAAACCCCTCCCCAAGATTACCTCTGCCCTGGGATGAAATACATTTTTCTGCTTGGTCCTTATGAATAGACAATGCTTAATACAAAAAAATGAAAATGCCAATGACTCATCTATATCCTATCAATCATCACCATTATAAATTCATAGTTTGTCTTCTAAAAACACATTTATTAAGTTTTTAACTCATTTTTCTAAGAGTTAATTCAATTAATTCAATTCAATTGATCTAATTCAATTTTCCTCCCCTCTCCTCAAGGGCCTTTTAAAAATTTCAAGTATGGTTTCTTTTTAGGCAAAATGGAAACAAATTCCAATCGGTTTGCCAACCCGCCTCCCATCCTCACACCCAATTTTTAAAAACAGGCTATTTTTTCCTGATAATCAAGGATGACAAACTTAGTGACAAAAATATAAAGAGTACAGAAAATCATAAAAAGGGACTAAAAGGTTCAGGAGGGAGGGGACACATGTATGCCTACGGCTGATTCATGCTGATGTATGGCAAAAGCCATCACAATATTGTGGTGTAATTATCTGCCAATTAAATTTAGAAAAGGATTTAAACAATGTAACCATACTCTTTCTTTGCAGAGGAAACACTGCTCTTTGATTTAGAAGAGGACCATAGTAAAGATCCTGATGCAGTATGTCTGGATAGGCCATGGAAATCTGTTTTTTTTTTTTAAGTGTTGAAGCGATTCTCATGATTTGCCTGGTTGAGAAGCACTGAGGCAATGAACTGGAAAAGGCTTGAGCTAGCTCTGCGGATGAAAGGCTAGCTTTGTGGAGCTTGGTAAGTCACCGAGCATTCTCACAGGACCACAGAACTGAGAAGGGAAGTACAGATTCATCTTGATGTCCAGGTCCTCATCCTACAGATGGGGAAGGGGGCTGGGAGATGTCAGGTGATTCAAGCAAGGTCACACACTAACTTTCAGATCCAGATTTACAATTCAAATAGACTTCTTATTTTTTATTGGCAAATAACTTGCTTATGGTGAGAAGAATGGCCACGTTCTCACTTTAATTTGCAGAAATCTTTCACAGGGTTACAAAGGATCGGACTGCCTCTTACTCTGAAAATCTGACATGACCAATACTATTGATATTATGTACTTATAAATATTTGAGATAGAAAATATTAACCAGGTCATAGAATTACTAGGGGAAAAAAACTCTTTCTATTGTAAAATTCAATGAAACAATCTATGACTCCTAAAAATAACTACCTTACTTGATATCAAAATGCAAAATTGTTTGCTGGGAGGATAAATGAATTATTTATAAATTAACTCTGGGAGAAGAACTATGTGAAAAGGGTCTAATTGAAATTTCAGAGCAATCAAGATCATGGCTAATATATAGCAAAGATTTAGTAGCTGGCTGGTATGCCCTGCTGGGTGGGGGCAGAGATGGGTGCAGGGAGGGGTTATGGGCAGCCATGCTCCTCTCTGCCAGACCTCCCCTTGCCTATGTACCAACCGTGGGCTCCAGCCCCCTCTCTGTGCCTTTATTCAGCGTTCCTTCCACCTCTGCCTTCCTTCCTCCACTTCTGTTTGTAAACATCCTACTCACCTCTTCAAGGCCAAGTTCAAATTTCACCCACTCGGAACAGCCTAATGCCCTGAACTACCACCCAGCTTCCTGAACTACGGATTACTGGTGTTTCCCTAATGATCAAATAAATTTTACATCCCACACAAGTGTGCTCTGCTATTTTTCAGGGATGCAGAGATGAATCATGTGTTGTGACACATTAATTCATGAGTCGTACATTAAATTCAGTTGAGCAGAGTGATGAAGAGAGAAAACCCTGGAGTTGCGGGCTGAGTTTGTTCTGACTGTTTCACACTCTACCTTTGGAATCACAGGCAAATTACTTCATCTCTACTTCAGTTTTCTTATCTGTAAAATGGGGCTCATAACAGTAATTACTCTGAGGGTTATGGTGTGGATTAAATGAGTTCGCTGTGTTCAAAATGCTCAGAACTGTGTGTGATCCTCTGGAAGTACTCAGAAACTGTCAGCTCCTACTGTATCTGTTAGTAATATCATCCTTTCCAATCGACTGACATTAAAACATTCCTTTCATTGTGAGGGGCCCACATGACTTTTTTTTGAAGCTGAAGTGGTTCCTGCCTGGGAATCACTGTGTCCTCTGTTCTTGCCTTTTTTGTGGCATTTATCATATTTTCCCTTCTGTTTTGGTGTCTGTGACATGACTTTTATCCTCTCCTACTTCCCTTCTTCCTAGGCGCCTCATAGCCCTTGTATTCAGCAGGGGCAGGATAAATGCTTATTAAATGATTCGGTATTTGTGCAGCAGAACTTAAGCCAAGAATCACATGGGAGGAAACGGAGAGACTGCTACTTTAACACTCCCGAAGCTTTTTTGAAATCCAAAGCCCTTTATCATTGCAGCCTGATGTGCACTTTCTTGTTTTAAAGGGGAAGAACAAGAGGCCTGGTGAAAATGTGTTTCTGATATTCCATTTTTAAAAGACCTGATCATGACTTCCTTTCAAGGCTTCCTTTAGGAAAACCAAAACCAGTCCAGGGAAGAATATTTTTCCATCTTATGTGAAGGGATTTAGGCAAGAGAGAAAGAGAGACTCATTTAATTCAGGCCAAGAGAATGGCCGCCATTAGGCTCAGCTCAGCTCCAGTCAATAGGAATGTATTTGGCTGTGGCAGTTTAGTGTTGGCCATTTTAAGTTGTATAAAGCATTTCAACCTACAGTCAACTCCAGAGCAGTCGTGCTAATAAAGGAATAAGAGACCTGGATAATAGGAACCAGAAAACAGTCTGAAGTTAATTTATATCTGGCTGGAGAAGGCATCGCACGAACAGATAAACAATAGATTCAGACACACACACCTTGGCTCTGGTTATGCCTCCTGCAACCTCCTCTCAGGAGGACTTGTTAGAAGAGCCCAGCGTGAGCTAGGCCGCAGTATGAACAGAGTCTGAAGTGTAGAGGATAATCCTCCAAGCAGAAAATCCCATTAGGTTCCACGTCTCTTGAACACAGGAACTAGATCTTCCCTGTTTGCTGCTAAAGCTGCATCGCCTTGCTCAGAAAGCACTTAGTGAATGTCTTTTGAATGAATGACTGAGTGAATAATTTGAAAACTGACTACCTAAGAAAATTGCTGATAAACAATCACAGATAAGCCAGCATGCTTCCCTCTGAAATGATGTTCAGTGAGGTGTCCTTTGGGGTATGTAGGAGGCAGGACCGTAGACTTTTATTCTGTAGAATTTCTTAGAGGCTGTCTAAAGCCTCCTGTGAGGAAAGAGGCAAGCTTTTCTCTGTCAAGGGCCAGGTCAGGAATATTTTCAGCTTTGCCGCCCATAAGATCTCAGTTCTAACAACTCAGCTATGCTCCTTCAGTGCCAAAGCAGCCACAGACAATACAGAAAGGAGTGGGCACAGCCATCTTCCAGTAAAATGTAATTTATAAAAATAGTGGCAGGCTGGATTTGACCCAAGGGCCTCAGTATGCAGACCCTGATCTCATGGGCCCTTGTGATTTCAAGAGGAGGGCACCGAGGCACACAGAAGTTGAGCAACCTCCCTGATCCCACAGACCCAGCTAACGTTAGAGCTGGGGCCACAGACGGTTCCCGATTTAGGATGGTTCAACTTTCAAGCTTTCAAGTTTACAATGAGGTGAAGAAAGCATTACCCGTTCAGGAGAAGTGTTAGTCGCTCAGTAATATCTGACTCTTTGTAACCCCACAGACTGTAGCCCACCAGGCTCCTCTATCCATGGGATTTCCCAGGCAAGAATACTGGAGTGGGTTGCCATTACCTTCATTAGGGGATCTTCCTCACCGAGGGATCAAACCTGGGTCTCTTGCATTGCAGGCAGATTCTTTACTGTCTGGGCCACCAGGGAAACTACTTCAAATTTTGAATTCTGATCTTTTCTGGAGCAGGTGAGATGCAGTATGATGCTCTTTTTGTGATGCTGGGCAGGGTTAGCAGCTGCAGCTCCCATCAGGCACAGGATCACAGGCATAAACAACCAACACACTGACAGCCATTCTGTACCCAGACAAACCTTTTTGTTTTCCCCCTTCAATACACTATTCAATAAATTATATAAGCTATTCAACACTTTATTATAAAATAGACCTTGTATTAGGTGATTTTTCCCAACTATATGCTGATATAAGTGTTCTGAGCATGTTTAAGGTAACTAGGTTAAGCTATGATATTGGGTAGGGCAAGTGTATTAAATGCATCCATTTCAATTATGATGAGTTTATTGGCTTGCAACCCCATGGTAAGTGGAGGAAAATCTGGAAGATCTAGATTTATTGACTCTAACCCAAAAGCTTTTTTTTCTTATTAAATGAAAATCCATTATTCACTGATGTGGATATTCAGTGTGAGTCTGCATATACCAGACACAGTACTAGGCATCGGGAATACCTGAGTGAACCGGGGTGGCATGGCTTACTCTTTACTCTTTAAGAGCTTACAGCAGGTGGAGGGCAGGGCAGAGCCATTACAATTTGGAGTAAGAGGTGTAGGATCAGGACCCACAGGCACCACTACAGGCAAGAGGCACCGTCTCCTCCCGCCTGTCACTGAAGTTTCCATGGGGAGGTCCAGGCCCTCAACAGCACCACCAGCACGCTCCTATTACAAGTGTTAGCACTTGCTCCCGAAGTCCCTCACTTTAATTCTCCTCTGAAACTATGAACTCTCACCAGGTAAATGCTAAGTCGCTTCAGTCGTGTCCGACTCTGTGCAACCCTATGGATTGTAGCCCGCCAGACGCCCCTGCCCGTGGGCTTCTCAAGGCAAGAATACCAGAGTGGGTTGCTGTGCCCTCCTCCAGGGGATCTTCTCAACTCAGGGATCAAACCCTTAAGTCTCATAAGTCTCCTGCATTGGCAGAAGGGTTCTTCACCACCAGCGCCACCTGGGGAGTCTCACCATGTGGTAGAGCTTTAAATGCACAGCTTATCTAGCTCATAGGAGCAGGCACTATCTCCACTGACCTTTGATCTTTCCAATTAAGAAGTTCTTTGAGTTCACAATCTGATCCATGTCTGAACGGATGGTTCCTTCCAGGCCCTTGGTCAGAGCCCTGCACTCCTCCTTCAAGGCACTTAATCCTTCTGAAACTTGATGCTGAACCAGGTGGTAGGCCTCTTCGAGGAGCTGCAAGGAGAACAACACACAGATTGCGGCTCTGTCACGCGTCAGGGCCTGACAAAGTCAAGCCCAGGAGGGCAGGTTAATCACAGATGACCGCAACATAAACACAACTGTGTGCACGTTCTAATTTTTCTTTCAAAGTCTGAGTTTGTTTGGATTAGTCCTGATGTATATGAGACTGAGCAGACTGGGAGTTCTCCACCCAGGGAAGGAATTACGTCTTAAAAAAAAAAAAAGAAAAACAAGACCTTAAAAAGAGAAGGGAAGGGAATGTTCATTTTGAGCAGCAGATCTGGCAGAGCAGAATCATCGCTTACCCCGAACCAGGCCCTCTTTCTGTCGTTCTTCTTCCCCTTCATTTTAGGCAGGATGTCTGTCTGAAGGGTTGGCATGAGCTCCTCCATTACCAGGTTACTCAGGATCTGTCGAGAGGAAGACAGCCACTATATCTGTGTCTCTATTTCTGCTTGCCAAGGCAGAAGTGAGGGGTGGGATGAATTGGGAGATTGGGACTGACATATACATACCACTACATAGAAAACAGTTAACAGATTACTAATGAGAAACTACTGAAGAGCACGGGGAACTCTACTCAATACTCTGTGGTAACCTATAAACCTGCAGGGGAAGGAAATCTAAAAAAGAGAAGATATATGTATAGATACAGCTGATTCACTTTGCTGTACAGCAGAAAATAACACAATGTTGTAAAGCAACTATGCTCGAATTAAAAAGAATGCTTAAGTGGAAAAAAAAAGAGGAAGAAAGTCTCAGAGCTGGTTTAGCTGGTAACACCTAAATCTGCACATCAGGCCAACTGAAGGTGTCATAACTGGCCACCCCTGTCCTGAATATTCATTGGAAGGACTGATGCTGAAGCTCCAAAACTTTGGCCACCTGATGGGAAGAACTAACTCACTGGAAAAGACCCTGACGCTGGGAAAGATTGAAGGCAGGAGGAGAAGGGGATGACAGAGGACGAGACAGTTGGATGGCATTACCAACTCGATGGGCATGAGATTGAGCAAACTCTGGGAGTTGGTGATGGACAGGAAAGGCTGGCATGCTGCCGTCCATGGGGTTGCAAAGAGTTGGACATGACTGAGCAACTCAACTGACTGACTGTCCTGGATACGTAAGATTGTCCTGCACTCCATGAAATCTGGTAGGTTAATAGTTTAACTCTGGGTCTGAGACCTCAGAAATCTCTAGGAAGAGTCATAGAGGGTAAATGTTCTAAATATCTGCAGGGAACAGTCATGCCTGCTGACATTTTCCCACTGGAAAGGACAAATTCCTCAACTTGAACTTCTCCTATTCGAAACAGAACAATCTAATGCATTTAGGATAAGAGGGGAAACATCAATTATGGATAAGGGTATCCTTAGCAAAATTGTGAAGGGGGTCAGGCTTGGTTTTGGCAGCTTGAGTCCTTGTCTATATCCCCTGAGACCACTGTTTCCTCTTGAACTTTCCTGGGATCTAAGTGTCTTCATGCTGTTTGTCCCTACTGCATCCTGAATCCCATCTCCATCTTCTTCAGAGTTTAGAAAAAGAAGGAAGTAACTAATACTTTGGAACAATTGGACATTGGTGGGATGAGAATATGGGAGAGGGGATGTCTACAGTTCTCAGAGTATTTTTTTTTAATTGTTCCCAAGTCTTTCCTAAAATTTTGCTTGGCTCAATGGAAGTGTTTCTTTTGAATGTGAGCAGTGATTTACCGGTCTGCACATAAGGCCCCACGTAACACTGGCCTTTCTTCTTTATATCCCCCCACTGGAATTGGAGCAGTTTTGTTGTTTAGATTTAGATCTGCCATGAGTTTTGGGGCTCAGAGCTCAGCTTTCAATATCAGGCTGCAGCCCAAGATTTAGGACAAGAGTAACTTGGGGAAAGGAGGCAAGCAGAATCATAGTAGAAAATCATTTGACATCTGCTTTGTGAATTGAAAAAAATATTTGTCCAAAAGAATTGACCTGCTCATAAACACTCAAATTAAGATTTGGGAAAGACTTTCTCTGAGGTCACTGGTCAGCCTCATGCTAGTGGAAATACTCATGAGCTCACTAGAGCTTGCCTTTCAAAATGGCTCTGTTTACAGCGGTCTGTAACAGTCTAGATGAACTGAACAGAACACTCCCAGGGTGGAGCGGGGTGAGTCGCTCAGTCCACCTAGATCTGCGAGTTCCTAGGAGAGAAGGCAGGGAGTCAGTGCAGCCGGGGGGTTCCGTCATCTGTGATGTGGAACTTCAGGAGTGACAGATTGTAACAGGGGTGGGATTCCCACTAGTCCTAGTAATTCAATGCCCGGGATGTTTTGACCTTTCTTAACCATTATCTGGGGAGCGGTCAAGAGGTCAGTTCAGTTCAGTTCAGTCACTCAGTTGTGTCTGACTCTTTGTGACCCCACAGACTGCAGCACGCCAGGCTTCCCTGTCCATCACCAACCCCCAGAGCTTGCTCAAACTCATGTCCATCGAGTCAGTGATGCCATTTTTGAGGACTTTTGAGGCGCTTAAGAGAAACCTGACATGTGTAAATCCCATAGAAATCAGCAACTGCCCAAATTGGGTTGAAGTACATAATTAATAATTCATGAACCTCATCTTGCCCAATGGAGTAAATTCTTGTTGGAACACACCTGCTCAAGAATGATGAAAGCGTTGGCACTGGGAGCGTGAGCTAAGAGCCTAAGGAGACTAAAGCCAGAACTTAAAATCAATGGGAAATATTGTCTTAGTTCAAAAGTATTAAATTCACAAGTCATAATAATTATGCAAATCCATCCTCTTGCAGAGATTGGCTCGAATCTGAGCATGAGCGTGAAGAAGATTTGAAAGATGAAAATGTTACACAATCCAAAGAAAAAGAATGCTCCATTTGGGTGGGCTTGTAGTTTGCTTTTAGTCTTTCCCATACAATGTTCCAAGAAATTTGGTTCTATTTTATAACTTAAGGGATTGGAAAGGAAATATGTCTGGAAAAAAAAGAAGGGGGATGAGAGTGGGTTTCGGGAGAAGGAGGGGCAGGGAGTGTGATATTAGGGAATAGCCCTTGGGCAGGCAACAGCCAACTCTGTCTCCTCCCAGAAGTTCATCCTGTTTCTGTATCTGTCAGCCCCAGCCCTCTCTGACTGTGAGCGGCTCCTCACCAGCCCAGGACCTGCTCTTCGACTCCCTGCCTTGGTCAGCCCTCCATGAGCAGGGTCCAGAGCCCTGGGGCTAGCAGGGAGAAAGCAGTTAATCTAATAAAAACTAATCATATTAATGATGCGGTTCCCCAACCTTCTTCCTTCAGAATAGAACCCACCGAGTTTTACCATAAGGAACCTAAAAATATTTCCTGTGCTTTAAAAAAAGGGGCGTGTGTGTACATTTAACTGCTGGGATTTAACTGGGAGATTTAAAAATTCCATCACACACATAAGAAACCAAACACACCATTAAGCTGATGGAAACCAACAACCCCAGGCTCACTCCCTGAGCTGTTGTTCAGTTGCTCCGTCGTGTCTGACTTTTTACGACCCCATGGACAGCAGCACGCCAGGCTTCCCTGTTCTTTACTTTCTGCCGGAGCTTGCGCAAACTCATGTCCATTGAGTCAATGATGCCATCCAACCATCTCATCCTCTGTCGCCCTCTTCTCCTCCTGCCCTCAATCCTTCCCAGCATCAGGGTCTTTTCCAAGGAGTCAGTTCTTCGCATCAGGTGGCCAAAGTATTGGAGCTTCAGCTTCATTCCGCGAAGGCCACACTACACTTACCTTCCATGTGCTGCGGCTGTGGAGAAGGCGTGAGACCCAGCAATACTGTCCTCTTTCCTGAGGTTGACGCCACGGTCTGACCAGGCTGTTGGCCTCGTGCCTTTCGTGTTACTGAGCAGCCAAGTGTGAAATCATCCATTTAAAGGGGGTCACACTCACGGTCATCAGAAAAAGATGACTTGAACATATGGACAAGGGAAAAATATGGATAGCTTTCTGGTCTTGAAACCACCCTGATGTGTGGGAATTTTGAGCTGTTCTCTTAGCCCATCTGGTTAATTTAAAAGCAAATAAAAAATAAATCACATAACTTGTATTTACATTTTCCAAAATGTTTTCCCTCATGACTTCATTTGATACATTTTTAATTGACAAGTAGAAAATATACTGATGCTTTTACTGGGGTACAAATATTTTCACCTTAATAGTCTGTCAGGCAAATTATTCTAAGATATTTGCTTTGCCTGGACACTTGCCTAAAATAACCATCAGCTCAAGGGCATGCCATACTTGCTGAATGAGTCATTACTATGAAGATAATAATGTAGCATTGCTGAAAATCTTCTGAATACAGTCTCCAAGGGTAGAAGGGGTGAGGACAATGTCATGATTAAGTTTTTAGCAGACATGAAAACAATGCAAATAAATTCAGTGCTTTAAACAAAAGATGTCATATTCTCAAACTCAATCATGCTATGCCCTTTTCTTTAACTACTTGGTAGCTTCTCTGGGACCCTGGCCTGTTTTTTCTGTGAGAATGAGGATAGACGTTGCTTCAGTTCCACGTGTAACGGTTAAGATGAAGATTACCCTCACCAGGCCTCACACAGGAAAAGTCTTGAAAGTTATTTCCTTTCAGCAGCTTCTTCAAGGTTCACCTGACATGGCTCAAAATGCACTTCTGTCACAGACTGGTTTTATGACTTGGGCCAACTTCTCTGAATGCTCTTTCTCCCGCCTGGAGGGTACTGGGCGAATAATCCTGAAATGCCCTTCCAGTGCTCACATTTTATGAGGTTGTGACTTCACGAAAGAAACTCAGATTGCTGGAGGAGCAAAAGCATTTACTGATTTCTTCTGTTTCTTTTTCCCCTTTAAGGTTTTTTTAATTTTTTATTTTATTTTTAATTGGAGGATAATTCCTTTCCAATACTGTGTTGGTTAATGCCATACCTCAACATAAATCAGCCTTAAGAATACACATGTTCCCTCCCTCCTGAACCTCCCTGTCACCTCCTACCCCTTCCCGCCCCTCTAGGTGGTCACAGAGCCCCAGCTTGAGTTCCCTGAGTCATGCAGAAAATTCCCACTATCTATTTTACATATGTTAGTGTATATGTTTCAAGGCTACTCTCTCAAATCATCCACCCTATTCTTTCCCCACTGCGTCAAAAAGTCTGTTCTTTATGTCTGTGTCTCCTTTGCTGACCTTAAACAGGACCATCGGTACCATATTTCTAGGTTCCATATATATGTGTTAATATATGATAATTATTTTTCTCTTTCTGACTTACTTCACTCTGTATAGTAGGCTCTAGGTTCATCCATCTCGTTAGAAAGGTATTTTTTTATTCTGCAAAATTAGCACCTTCCTATGACTGCTGCTAATGCTTTATGATGCCCATATATGTACAGACCACACATGGTCCCACATACACCTCTAAGGCTGCCTTGTTCTCTGGATGCTTCTAGGTGTGTCTCACCTCACCAGAATGGCAAGGCATGAGTCATTTCATTCTCTCGCACCTTAAAGCAATTCACACATATCAGCCCAAAGCAAAGAGCAGAAAGTCAATCCTCCCCCTCCAAAAAAAAAAAAAAACCCAAACTCAATACTCAGCTCTCAGAAAAGAATTATTAGGTACCTGCTTTCCATGGGATAGTGAAGGAATATGAGCTGATATAAGATTTCAAATGAAAGAAAAATTAAGCAAGTACCTTAGCTTAACTCAAGGAGCTAAATAACTGTTTAACTTGAAACTATAAATGGATGTGCTTCCTCCAAATATGAGAAATCAATAATTGACTAAAGTTCTTGAGTAAGTCTCAGGATGGGAAATAAAAATGAGTTTAGAATCTACTGAAGAAAAAGAAGGGGGAGGAGGAGGAGGGGAAAGAAGGAGGAGAAGGAGACAGAAGAAGAGGAGATTCTGTGTCATATGTTAAAACAATAAAGAACAGCCCATTACCATGAGAAAATGTTTTTAGCCTTAGATATTTAACGACCATATAAAAGCAAGATACCATCTGGCATCTTCTAAATACTGTTCCCTAATAACAAATTTCACTGGCCCCCAAAAGAGGCATTCTGGGCTATGAGGGGAAGTTAAAGAAGAGCATTCTTGGACCCTCTGCGCCTCTAATTAAATAATATCCACACTCGGCCTCTTCTTCCTGACTGAATCAGCCTGTGATTGGTGTCCTCATGGGGGATGGGGTCACATCACGAAACACAGTTTCCTTGGAGATCCATAACAATGTACCTGGTACCAAACCAACCCAGTACACTTGATTGACATTTAATCAAGGTCATGGGAAACTATGGACCCGGATCACAGGAAATAGAGCACTAGAAAAGGCAAATGAAACATCGAGAAAACTATCTAATGCTTTCAAATTTGGTATCCTTTAACTGAGTGAGTGAGTGAAGTCGCTCAGTCGTGTCCGACTCTTTGTGACCCCATGGACTATAGGAGCCTACCACGCTCCTCCGTCCATGGGATTACCCAGGCAAGAGTACTGGAGTGGGTTGCCATTTCCTTCTCTAATCCTTTAATTACTTCATTTATAAATCATTCCCTAGATGAAGACAGCTATTTGCCAACTACTTTTCCAACAACATCTTATTTAATTCTCACAGCCTTGTCAGGCAAACATTATCATTCCTATTTTTTCAGAGTAACCTAAAACTAAGAGAGGTTAAATAACTTGGCAGGCTTTAACCCAAATCTGCTGACTTAAAGTCCCGCCACAAACTTTGTACTATGCCACACTGCTCACATTTGCTGCTAGTCTCGAAGCACAGGTCACTTGAGAGAATATGTTTTTTTCTGGAAAGAAATTGGAAGTTGCTCTTCCACTGCAGTTGCAGTTGTCTGGGCTGCCCTGTTGGAGGTCTGGAGGTCTGGAGTGCCCAGTCTGGAGGTCTTTAGAGTGCCCAACAGCTTGCTGATCAAACGCTTCTAGACAATGAGAGAAATGGCCTATGGAACCACATCTTCCATGCCTGCAACTTTTTTGTTTGATAGTTTATTATGATCCTGACCTCCTACCACTTAGACAGAGAATAGGATCCATATTTCTGAGCCCCATGTTACCTGGACTTCATCCCCAGTGACCATTTCCCACGAGCCATAGTGTCCTTTCTCCTGTCGAAAGAATTGAACAGCTTCCAAAAAGGCTTGGGCTTCAAATGTCGTCTGCTTCATGTAATCTAAAAGAAAGAGGCAAGGGCATTTAGAAAAGAAAAAATTCTTAATTTAATATTCTTCTGTGATTCAGAGACCATTACCTGAATATTACAAGGAACAGAATTATGAGACACAAAAAAGTTAAGCAAGCACTGAATTAAAAGTTCATTTGCAGGTAGGGACATCCCTGGTGTTCTAGTGGCTAAGACCCCATGCTCCAGTGCAGGGGGCTGGAGTACCATCCCTGGTCAGGGAACTAGATCACATGTGCTGCAACTAAGAGTCCAAATGCCGTAACTAAAGACCCCACGTGCTACAACTAAGACGTGCAGTCAAATAAATAATTTTTTTTTTTAAAGGAAACAACAACAAAAAACCTCCAAGTTCATTTGCATGAATGAAAAAGAACTTTCAGGTATATGTTACATGACTTCCTCATTATGCCAGCTGATTACTTCTATCAGTTACTAGACATGCTGGTTATGACCAGAAGCAAATCTGTCCTCATTTATCTCTCTTGTAAATGTATCCCTCAGACATCAAGGCTCTAGTGGCTTTATGCCACCAACTCTAACACCTCAGTGAGGCAGACTTCCTTACAGTGCCTCAGGTATCCAAGGTACCCCCTCCCAGTTTCCCAAACAAAGTATCAACTGATACCAATGTTTTGTCAAAAGGACATCAATATAAGAGGCTGATTTTTGCAAATGAAGGATAATAATTGTTAAAACATATAGTAAGAAACTGTTACTTCTGGGTATGTTACACAGGCCAGTGAAACCTCACAAAACCCTCTGAGGTGAGTGTTATTATCATCTCTAGTTTATGGAGGAGGGGGCTGAAAGCACAGGAAGATCAATTAATTGCCTGAGATCATGCACCAATAAGGAGATGAACTTGGGCAGTCTGACTCAAAGCACCACACTATACTACCTCACATACTCGTTTTGGGGTTTGCCTTTCCAAACATATTGGATTTTAAAAGGCATTATATCTGAGAGGTAATATCCTACCACAAAGGAATGGATACCTAATGGTACAGGATTTTTAAGTATGCTGAATGGCCTTCCCAGAATTCCAAAAATCACTCCATGCATGCAAATATGCTCAATTTCTGCTATGGACTGAGCTTGTGTCTCCTAAAATTCATATATTAAAACTCCAATCCCCAAAATGTGATATTTAGAGATGGAGGCTTTGGGAGGTAATTAGGTCACGAAGGAGTAGATCCTTTATGTTGGACCTAGAGCCCATATACATAATATACAATGGAATACTACTCGGCCAGAAAAAGGAACAAAATTGGGTCATTTGTAGGTAGAGACCTAGACAGACCTAGAGTCTGTCACACAGAGTGAAGTAAGTCAGAAAGAGAAAAACAAATATCATATATTAACACACTTTTGTGGAATCTAGAAAAATGATTGTTGTTGTTCAGTTGCTAAATTGTATCCAATTCTTTGCAATCCCATGGAGTGCAGCCTGCCAGGCTCCTCTGTCCAGGGGATTTCCCAGGTAAGCATATGGAGGGGGTTGCCATCTCCTTACTGGCAGGGCAGAAATAGAGACACAGACATAGAAAACAGACATGTGGACATGAGGGGAGGGGGAGGGGGGGTTGGATGAATTGGGAGATTGGGACTCACATATATACACTACCATATGTAAAACAGATGGCTGGTGGGAACCTACTGTACATCTGAGGGAGCTCAGCTCAGCGCTCTCTGCTGACCTGAGCGGGGGGATGTGGGTGGGCAGGGAGGTTCAAGGTTCATGCATATGTATGGCTGGTTCGCTTTGTTCTACAGCAGAAACTAACACAGCACTGTAAGGCAACTATATCACAATTTCTAAAAAAGAAAAGCCTCACTCCCTCACTCTCCTTCCTCTGTCTCTCTCTGACTTTCTCTCTCACCAGACACCAGATCTACCACTGCCTTGGTCTGGGACCTCCAAGAGTATGATATTTGTTGGAGCAGCCCACACTAACCCAGAGAATTTTCAACACATAAAACTAGCTCATGGAGGATACAGTGATAACCAAATTATAGGATTATTAGCACGGAAGTTAATTTTAGAAATAATCTAATCTAACAATAAAGAAATCAAAACTTAGGAGAGGGAAATAAAGTGGGCAAAGTGAAGTGACTGAAAGGGTCAAGTATCCTATCTTCTGCTTCTCCCTAGTAGGACACAAAGTTCTTTTGCCAAGAGCATAGGATCTGTATTCATAGGGTGATGTTAGACTGGTCAGCTGAAGGGAGCTGATTTGCTGGGGGGACCTTCAAAGCTTTAACCTGTGGGACCGCTCAGTCAGTGACACAATGGCTGACTCGGGGACTGAGCAGAAAGAACCTAAAGAGGATCAATCTGCTTCAAAGGGGGACAATCAATTAATAAATTGTAGATGACTCTTTTGAGACTGGCTTACTGATCATAAGCCTCAGGCACTTGGAAAAGAGAAACTACAACTCAAGGAATAGCCTCCATAACAGGATGAGCAAAATTCTTCACAATGAGGATACCGTGACGCCCAGAAGGTCCACATTCAAAAATGTGAAACAGTAACTGACATTTCTAATATCAACAGAAAGTTGGGGTTAAAATGTAAATCAGAAAAAGGGCATGTCTCAAGAATCAGGTTTTTAAATTGAAGCGTTTTCTTCTTTGTTATTATTTTTTCTTGGTTTGGCAATTGATTTAGTGTTTAACCTTAGAGGTTTGGAAAACACAAATTAAAATTTTGGTATAAACTTGACAAGGGGGCTGTGATATGGGACTCAGTACACTGGGAGGAACTATACCAACTGAGATGGAACCTGTAATTACTACATTGAGATTCAAAACTGACTCATGAGCTCTTATTTTTAACAGCTGTTTTCATTTCCAGCCTAAGGAAACAAAGAGACGGAAGAAAATGTGGTACTTAGATGAAGTGAGTATTGCCAGACCCGTGAACCTAGGAATGAGGTTTAAGTTCCTGAGGTCCCTACAAGAAGCATAAATTTACTTATTTCTTCCTGAACTGATCCAAGTAACTGAAGGAAGAATCTGAAATCCTGTAAATACCATGTGTATCTATATGAAAAAAAAAAAAACTATGACACTCGCACTGATGGTTGACTTTTCAAAGATCTTCAGAAAACCTAAGTGAAGAAATGAGATTTGAAGGCAAAATGTGGGAGTCAGAGAGAAGTCAAAGAAGGAATAGAAGAGCTAGAATGTAGTAATGGTGCAGGATGGAGCACCTTGATACAGGCAGAGAAGAAAAGTATTAGTAATCACATGGACCATAAAGGAAATTATAGTCATTGAACAGTAGTAATAAAATTTAAAAGAATAAAAAAAAAATTTTAGAAGAATAAAGACATGAATCTCCATTTTGGACTTTACCATTAAGTCAGACCTAGATCAGATTTTAACTACTCTTTTTCCATATGGTAAAAAGGGTCTAATTACTGATTTCATCATTAGATTTTTTAGCTTATAAAGTGATTAAATTAATTTATATAAAACTTTTAGAATAGTAGCTGCCACATAGTAAGTTGCTTTATGGATACTGGTTCTCATGATTATAAACAAAGTTCAATAGAAACTGCCAGATCATTAAGGAAATAAAGAACAAAGGTTTGCTTTGGAAAGGACAGAGCTACATTGCAAGGGTTATATGATATTCATTTCTTCTAAGCTGCTTGCAGAGGCATTGCTGAATTCAGCCAGAATGTACAGGTGTTTGAAAGAAACCAGATTATCAGTTATTTAATCAACTTCCTGCCACAGATCCCATGGGAACAAATTCCAGGATCACAATCACCCACTCTCCTGCCAACAAGAAATTGAGAGTTAGTTCAATGGCCCCCAGGATCAACAATGGCTTTTGGTCTTTCAGCCTTCTTCCTGCAAGATGACTCACAAAAATGGCAGGCATCAACTCAGACTCAACTTTTCCAGCATGCTGTAGTTAAGAGGATGCTCAGCGACACAGATGTGCTGAGAAGAACTTAAGCATCGTTAAATCCAGCTCCTTCATTTTATGGACAAGGAAACTGGAAGAAGAAATGGTTAATTTCTTAGCTGAAGGTCACACAGCTGGTCAGAATCAGAGCCAAGAGTTGAAAAAGTGCCTCTGGCATGTCACAAGCAGCCTTGGCATTCATGCTCACTTAAATCATAGACTATGAGAGTTAGAAGTGATCTCAAAGGTCACCCACCCCAAGCTGTTGTTTAATGCTGGGAGCCATCAGAATTCATGACAGACACTCATCCAGCCTTAGCTTGACTATTTCCAGTGACAGGAAGCTCACAATGTAATGAAATAGTCTTTTTCTTTTTTTGTCACTGAACTGTTATAATTATTTGAAAATTTTTCCCTCTGCTGAGCCAAAATCTATTTCCACGAACTCTCATTAATCCAGCTTCTGCCTTTCAGAGCAAAACAGACAAGTTTACTCTTCTTCCACATGGTATCTAAAAGATAGCTGAGTATTCTCATTTTCCTGCAATCATCTTTTAAACAATATAACTTAGGGATATTTTTTTAGAAGTTGGCCTTCCTTTTTCCTTCCTTCTCTTCTCTTCATTTTGAATCTATCTATATATTTCTTAAATTTAGACCATGATTGAATACACTACAAAGAATATTGTCTAACCAGTGCAAGTTATATAAAGTAGAAAGATTATGTTCCTTTTTCTGGTCCCTAACCTCTTTTTTCATCAATCACACCATACTTTTGGCTCATACCTTTTTCGTAGTCCAATAAAACGCCTACAACTTTTTCATATAACACCCTTGTCAATCTAAGCCTTTTCTAACCTGTATTTCTGCTTTTGATTTTGAAGTGCAGGCTTTAACACTACCCTGATTAAATTACAACTTGCTATGATGAGTTAGCACCCCAGAGCCTGCCAAAATCATTAAAAAAAATTGTAATTCTGTCCCTAGACTCCCAATTACCCCAGTATCATCTGAAAACTTGGTGGGCTTAACTTCTACGTTTCTATCCAACTCACTGACAAAAACATT